ACACGGGATTTCCGGTGGTAATATCGGCGTTAGAATATTATTATGAAACTTTCAGACGGCCTTCGTCACCGCCCGCCCGYGTTGAGCGTTTGTAATCTCCATTTCGCGACAACCCTCTTCGAGAGAGAGGAGCACGCCGCGCCGGGACCCTATATATATATATTCTTTTGTAGTCGTCGTCTGCGTAGTATGAGTCGTCGTCGTCATCGTCGTCGCATGCAGTACAGCAACAACAACGATGACTGATCGAACTAGGTGATTCATGCACCTTCGCATTATTATTAATCGAAGAATATTATATTATATACGAGGGAGAGAGAAAGAGTGCGACGGACTTACAGGGATATACATGGAGAGAGAGAGAGAGAGAGAGAGAGTGAGTGAGCTGACTGCCGCCGACGGTGACAGCTTTGCGGGCAATAATAATCATTTTCGGCGGGGGAAAAAAAGGGGGACGTTGGCCAACAATCGTGTCGTACCGTTTTCTTTTCGCGAACCCGAAGGGGCGAGAAACGATGCGTATATATACTACATTATGAAGAAATGACGATATTAATTTATGTACATGTGTGTGTGCGCGTATGCGGTGTGTGTGTGGTCACATATGCGATTATGGGAAAACTTTTATTATTATTATTATTACTATTATATTATGACGCGGTGAATCATTCGACACTTGCTGGGATAACGGTCAATTCTTGAGGCAATCAATATTATGTTTTATTATTTAACATGTATATACGTATTATTTTTATTTTATCTATTTAAGCGACTTATTAAATTATAGTTGATGTGATAGTCTTACATAATGCATTACATTCGAACGATGGTACACCGAGCTAAGACAATAATTCCCTATATGTGAATACGTGCAGTAAGAATCGGCAATCATCATGAAGTATGTTGTATGTAAATATATAACAAAATAATAAATGTTTAGGTGATATTTACATGCATCTATCGACAACACGCTTAATTTTTATCAAAATATTTTCAAACATTCATGATTTCCACTTCTCTACCCTCAACGAAGGATTAATGTACAGAATGAATAGATTACAATAAATTGCTGTATTATGGATGATATACTGTTAAAAATTGATATTTATGGATATTATTGTTGTTATTTATTCCGCTAAATATCACTTTTATAACGTTCAAAACAGCTCAACATTTACTGTTTAAAATAATTAATAGTGAACACGTATATATTTATTATATAACGTTATATATATGTGATATTTTCATTAATTATATTTTTCATTTTAAATAGGCATTTCATAACAAGAATGAAAATATGAAATTAAAATATGGTATCGGTTTTATATTATAATATATTTCGTATCAACAGATACATAATATTATGCATATACATCGCCTATGCGTACAATAATGTATGTAACACAGAAAAACAATTTAGCTTAGGTGCATGTGTGCAAAAATATTAGTTGTACAGTATAAGTAGTACACGCCTAAATACAACTATAGTAATATATTATGTTGGGAATACAATACGAAGGCGCGTGTAAGATACCCATATAGTCGAGCATGGCCATTTTTGCCAAAAACAAAAAACATACGATTTCCGTTTCGGCCGAATATCGAGTACCCCCTCTCATGGCAGTATTATTGCTAAGAAATATATTTACTTTAAGTGCTAGCTCTGGTATATAATATGTTATCGTACATGGTTGTATGTCAAAATATTTCATAATATTGCATTAATGCATTGTACTACGAATACTGCGATGACTACCTATAACGAAGATGGTATGAACTCCCCACAGGATATACTTAAAACACCCCTAAAAAAAAAAGTTGGCTACGCGCCTGCTGCAGT